CACCCAGAAAGGGGCGTGGCCTTGCGTAGAGGGAAAGTACCAGGATGTACATCACCCATTGGTTCTGGCACCACAGTTCAAAACTAAATTAAAGACAGTCCACAGAAGACTCACTTTGGGCCTTTGACCTTCGCCATCTTGGTTTTTTGGCAGACATTTTTGGCGACTGAAATTGATGTTTAAAGACAAACTGTGAAAGGGTTAAGTTGTACGACGAGAACAAGGGCAACACTGTGGTAGCGACCTGTCAATCACAGGTAGCCCCGCCCTAAAGCTGCTTTATCGTCCTTCTTTCTCTAAATGGGACAAAGTTCACTAAAGAACATCAGACTGTGTTGAACAAGTCTTGAGACTGAAATGTCCTCCAGGCCTCTTCTTCTGTCCTTCTGTCCTGTCCTCCATTGTTCCCCTTAATGTCTCATCATCTTGTCCACCTTGTCCTTTTGACTCATGATGTCCACCATTGCGTCTTTTGTTGTTTTTAGTTTCCTCAGTAGTCTTTGTGTCCTCTTTCTCATCTCCGTTTATTGACGTGTGTCATGTCTTTCTTTCTCTCCGTTGTGTTGTCCCTTTCCTCTTGTTGTCCTCATGATGTATTGTTGTCCCTTCAGTCCCCTGATGTCATCCTCTAGTATTGTCCTGTCCCCTTGTTTTCCTGTCCTTTATGTTGTCCTCTCTCCATCATCTCATCAGCATCCTTGTTGTCTGATCATGTTTTGTTGTCCTCTAATGTTGTCTTAGTGTCCACCATGTCCTATGTGTCTGTCCTTCCACCATTGACGTCTCATCATTTTGTCCACCATGTCTTTTGGTTCTATTGTCATAACTCTTTGTCTCATGTTGTCCATCATTGTCTCTGTTGTTGTCTGCAGTTCCTCAGTTGTCTTTCCTTGTCTTTGTGTCATCCTCCCTGTCCCTTTGTGTTGTCCTCCTCTACATCCTCTCATATTGTCCTCTTTGTTGAATCATGTCTTGTTCCTCGTGTTCAGATGTCCTCTACTCCTTTTTTAGTCTTTCTCGTGTTCTCCTCGTCCTTTGCTATCCTCTCTTGTCCCGTCACTGTCCACGTTGTCCTCTCATGTTGTCCCTCCATTCTCTTCAGTACTGTTCATTTGTAACCGTTGATATTGTCCCCGTTGTCTTGTCTACGGTCTACGGGTCCACTCCTTTTCCTCTTCATCTCCAATGTCTCGTGATTTCCTGTCCCCTTGTTTCATTGTCCTCATATGCTTTCAATCCCCTTGCCGTCCCTTTTGTCTAAAGTCTCTTTTATTCTCTGCAGTTTCTCCGTCTTCTTCTGATCTACCTCCACACATGTCTTCCCGTCCCTCTGTCTCTGAATCTGAGACAGAAACCTGGACAGAAACCCTCGTCCAGCGGCGCCTCGTCCACAACAAAACACATATTAGCATTAGAGAGCAAACTAACATATTAGCGAGCGCTTCATCTGCCGGGACGGGCTCCTCGGGACAATTAGTCATCCGGCGGGGGGACAAACACAATTACAGCGAAGCAATAACTGAGTGTGAAAAAAAACTCCTGACCTCTGCATCTCGTCTCATTGCATTAGTATCACAGTGTGAAAGACAAAGCTAATGGAAATGAGGAGGAGACAGGCAATACTGCTGATTGGGCCTGATATAATTAGAATAATATCCCGTCCGCCGTTAATACCAGAGAGGGGATAAATAACGGGGATCAGTTAATAGCCGGCGCGCTCAAAACGGCTGCGTCTTAAATATGCCGAGGCCAGCGCTTCTTCCTGTTTACTCATGGGCCGCTGATCGCCTGATATTGATGTGGCGGAGCGATGGCCGCTTCTTCATCCTGATTATTCATCTTGATAAATACATAAGGACGGGCGGAATTAGGGCTGTTTTTCAGGATTATCCCGGCTGATAGATGCTCCGCTCACACTTTGCTTTGGAGCATTCTCTGCATCCACAAATATTAATTTAGCTGCTGACAGGAAGGGAGATGTTGTTTTGCTCCAAAGTGTTTTAATTGTTTTTCCTCCCCGAAGGGAAATATTATTTGTCACTTTTAGGAAATGATCAGTGAATTGCAGCGACTGTAAATGAATTCATCTCAAGTCTGACAGGTTCAGTTAGCTGACGGTATTCAGAATGTACCGTTTATCATCCAGTTTGGGATCGGGCTTTTTCACGAAATCAGGAAAGAAGTAAACAAGTGTGGTTTGCGTTTCTGTTAAAAAATGGACTTCCTGTCATCAAGTAAACCTCCATCTTTAAGTGTCTTAGCCGTCATGTTTCTCACTTTTCAATAAAGAGAGTGATGCATGCTAACCGTTTCAAATGTGTTTTCCTCACGACACAAAAATGCTTAAAATCAACATTTGTCCTGGATTTATAAATCTACTTTTTGTGTGTTTTTCTTGTGCACTTTGAGCCAGAACACATATCTTATCTGCTTGACATTTCCAGTAGGATTCGAGGAGGTAACGTCACTTAATGACCATCGACTGACACTTTCAATTACGCTCAATTTGACGATTGAAGGCTTTCAAAATGTTTTCATCAATTAGTTGTGAGTAATTAGTCTACACCAACTCTGTTTGATGTTCTGCTGATGCGATGTGAGAAGGAATGAATACATTCTTAATAACCTGTAAGCAAGGAAAATTAGCTTGAACAACTCGATGCCTGGAGGTGGGTTAGGTTGTTTTTAGACGAATAAAAGTTCTTCACGTTAAAATATTTTGAAGGTAAAAGAAGAAACAGCGAGTCCACTAAAGCAGACATTATCAGGTATTTTTATTTGTATATATAATAATATACATTTTGCCATTTACAGATTTAGTCCTTTAAAGAAATGACGACGAAAATATTGAAACCAATAACTATTCTTCATACTTTATTCCCGCAAAATTCGGAAAGTCGGATTTACTAACTGTGCACGGCAAGAACATGCATTCGAATGAGAGATTAAACAACAGAACAATTATAAAAAATAATGTAATATAAAGCTGACAGATACATTTTAGACCTGGGTCCATTTCTTTAGGTCAGTAAACAAGTTAAAAGTTAGCAAAGTTAAAAAGTTGTTGCTGTAAAAGTTGAGGTAACATCATCCTTGCCTTCATTTTGGAGGGGAACTCTGTTTCTCACTTTCAGGTAAAATCAGGAGTGTGTGTGTGTGTGTGTGTGTGTGTGTGTGTGTGTGTGTGTGTGTGTGTGTGTGTGTGTGTGTGTGACAGATCCCCTGTCTTTATAGAGGAGTTGCTGCCATGTTTCAGTTGAAGTGTGTGTGTGAGCGCTGCACAATGTTCAAGGATTTATCAAAATATCAAAGACAACCTAATATTTTAAAAGGATGTTACGATACATTATATTTCGAGGAATATGATTGGTTCTCTGGATGCAGTTTTTAACACATGGTTAACGTTAGCATAATGAATACGTACAGAATCATGAGGTTAGTGAACGATCATGCTTCTTGGTCTAATCTTGTATTTGGTTACGCAATTTCTGTACATCTCATACTTTACAACAACAATTAAATCGAAACAAAACAAAGATGCAAAACTAACAACATAACCATTCGTTTACATTTTGAAAAAGTTCATGATTTGTCTTAAAATAGTTATGTACTTGTTTTATATAAATTAATCCTGCCCTCCTTGGATGTTAGAGGCGACCTGACGGGATTAAAGCAGGGCTCATCACCCTCAAAGTGTGTGTGTGTGTGTGTGTGTGTGTGTGTGTGTGTGTGTGTGTGTGTGTGTGTGTGTGTGTGTGTGTGTGTGTGTGTGTGTGTGTGTGTGGACGTGAGAAGCAGCGAGCGTATGAACCCAGTGAGAGGAACCTCATTAATGTCACATCCTGCAGAGATTCACGCCCCGCACACTTCGCTGGCGGGAGGACATACTGGAGGAAACACGGCGAGAGGACGTGAACATCCATCGCACTTCAAATATTATCTCACGGCGTCAGGACTGATGGAGCTCCCATCATCCATCTGTGCAGGAACAAGGACTCCATTACTCTGAGTCTGCCTCTGCTCATCTAATGCCGCTTTGAATCAATCAACAGAGTGCATCTGATCACAGCGTAATGCGTTATGAGAGGACGACACACACAACGACTGCTCTCTCACTCTGCTCCACGGGATTCATCCAGGCCTCGATGGAGATGAAGAGGAAGAGGAAGAGGCCGCCCGCTCGATGACTTCCTGTTAATAATATTCCTGCACGCGGCCGAGGAGGAGATCTTGAATTGTTCCGCTCGATGTTAGCGGCGTCTGAATTAACCCCGCCTCCTCAGAGTGTGTTAGAGACGACCTGACGGGATTAAGTCAGTGCTCATCACATGAAACACACACCTCTGAGAGAGTGTGTGTGTGTGTGTGTGTGTGTGTGTGTGTGTGTGTGTGTGTGTGTGTGTGTGTGTGTGTGTGTGTGTGTGTGTGTGTGTGTGTGTGGGGTCTTTGGAGCTGAGGAGTCACAGGCTGTTTCTCAATGTCGAGGAAGGCTGCTCCAGAGCCACTATTTCAAGGATGCTACATCATCGAGTGCCGCCGAAAGACTGTTCCAATGTCCAGGATCCTTGGAAATCTACTGAGCCCGGTGTCCTTCGTTGCGGGAAATTTCGAGGATGCACATGTGTATCCTCTGCGGTCTTAAAATCCCCACAATGCTTTGCGCACGGACCAATTTCCAAAATCTGTGGCGGAAGATGTAAGGCAGGGCCTCTCATATGACGCCCACCTGCACACTTGCTCGCCTGTTCCATTCTTCGTTCTCCGAATGCCAGGTAGGATTCTTGCCTAGCTTCTGAAGGACCCACACTCTGCAGACTTGTCCTACCAAGGAAGCGTCCTTGACATTGAGAAACAGCCACAGTCTCTCCCTGACTCTCCCCTGGATCCCCGGCCCTTTGCCTAGCATGAGTCGGTGACTTTCTGTTAATAAAAGTCCTCGCTAAAACCTGTGTGCGTCTCCCACGTTTGTTGCGGCCTGCGAGCCGGTCCTAACGTGCATGGAGCGACTGAAGAGAAGCGAAACGTCTACAGGAATACAGAGTAGTTGCTCCTTGCTGCTTAATCTCATTTCATCATGAACCAAATATCTAAATCCTGGTGTTTTTGCATAAAGAATTCACAGGAAGTTTGTTTGTAATGTCAGCACCACGAGAACCATACATGGTAAACATACAAACAAAAACAAACAAATTATAAAAACATGTTAAACTAGATGATAAATATAAAGGCACTTCCATGAGAGCCTCACCAGACGTCCAGAGAGGTTCCATCCCCACACCTTTCCCTCCGTGTGGACGAAAGAGGCTGTCCCATGTGTTCTGTGGATCTGAAGGAGGTCAGTGTTTTTCTTCATCATCTCCTCATCCCTTTTCTCAGACTCTCCCTCCGCCCCACGTTGGGCGCCATGTTTGCATCATAAGAGCTGGATACTGCAATCAGAGATGATGGCCTTCTTTCTAGGTGAATCGTTCACTGAGTTCTGTTTTATAATGCGTCTCTTTGCACAACCCCTCCCCATTTAATCAGCAGATCTCCGTAGTGGCCAAACGGTGGTACTACACTACCTTTCTAGTCCGTGCCGCCTCCTCTCCCACCCCCTGCTGCTCGTCCTGCGCGGCAGTGTCGAAGCACGTCTCCATCATGACGCGGGACTTGCAGAGAATGACGCAGTCCTGCAGGTCCTCTGTGGTCCGAAGCAGAGCCTCCAGGAACTCCTGAGACCCCCGATCCAGGTCCTGGTCCACCTCGACTGCAAGACACCATCACACACTATCAGTTCAGAGTAATACGCAGAGGAGAAGGACTCCGATGTTGTACTTGAGTAAAAGTAGAAGTACTCAGACCTTTGCAGGGTTGAGGACTCATAATGCTGAGTCATGGCGGGTTTTAGGACTCTTTGCTGCAGTAAAGCTTGTGTACTCCACTTTCGACTCCACTTGGAGAGATAGAATTACTAACAAAGCACTTATATACTAATAAAGGACTGGCTTATCTAAAGCCAGTTGAGTAGCACTTGAAATGTTTGGCTCTATGAAACCTGATGTACTTACATGATTCTGTTTTCTTCAAGGTTGTATCTTGTTGGTCGAACGCACTTATTGTAAGTCTCTTCGGATAAAAGCCTCAGCTAAATGTAATGTAATGTGATGTACTCACACTCTCCGGTCCACTTGGCGGGGGGGAGACTCAGCCGGCTCTTGGCCTCCTCCAGCTCCTCCTTCAGCTGCTGGTGTTTGCTGCTCAGCTCCCTGATCTGCTCCTGCCGCTTCTCCAGCATCCTCAGCCGGCCGGTGAAGTAGATCAGACCCTGAGGACCAAACGCAGCGGGGATACCCGGAGCCAGCGAGCACCATGTGGGACAAAGTGGGGCAATGTGTGACAATGTGGGACAAAGTGGGGCAATGTGGGACAATGTGGGACAATGTGGGACAAAGTGGGACAATGTGGGACAAAGTGGGACAATGTGGGACAAAGTGGGGCAAAGTGGGGCAAGTTACTGCGATGCACAGAGTTAGTTTAGATTTCAATGAAATGTTTAAATAAACGTTGACC